TTTGGTTTTATTTACTCTTGAAACAAAACACTTTCAGGGACCCTGCGGAAGTACATTTGATATAAACAATTTAACGGTGCAATGGTTAATGCATTATTTAGTCTACCCCTGAAGCTAGAACCTAAATATTTACTGCATCAATGAAATGACTGAACACTGTACTCATGAACAATGCTATAGTAAGACTTTCGTTTTCGACTTTGGAATATTTTTCTGAGTAGTGAAACTACCTGATTATGCACTCCATTCAGTATCATTTTCTCTTAATGGTTTATGATTATAACCAACTAGGCCAAATTAAGTCAAGTGATCAGAGGAAAGAAAATCAGCAACAACCCTCACTACGTACACAGCTACTCTTAACCGAATATTGAGACTGTTTCATTAATAGCATGCCTGAAGCTGAAAGTGTGTGGGGTGTGATGAGCCGCAGATCGAAGTTCGAACCAAAGCTTTCCCTAAGAATTTTTTTCAAATGCACATTTATATTTTAACTTCATTTTTTTAATATACGACGCCTTTTTGCACCTCATATATACAGGCCTAGTAACAAATGATCCAAAAAAATGAAGAATATTCTAGTAAATACGTTTATTTATAAACTGTGGAATGGAATTTTATAATCTTAAATATGTTTTTTAAATATTTATCCTCTTGAACTTACTTATATAGGTGAATTTTCAAGTGCACAAATATTGTGACAGGTGCACAATTTGTGATCAACTGCACACTAGAAGAACTCCTGGTTCGAACCCTAGACATTTTGATCCACAGCACAGCACACTAACCACTAGTCCATACTTCCTACGATGTTTGCCAAAAAGCTGTTAGTTACTGAATATTATGTTTTCTTAAACTTCTACTCTAAAATTTATACCAAGGAAAGGTGAGGAGCTAATTTTCTCTCAATCAAATATTGTTACAAGAATGGCTTGTTGCGTAATCTGCTGATAAAAATAAAAACACATATATTCACATAAATGAAATAAGAAATGAAGCTGTTAATAGCTTAGTTTGCAAATGCAGAAACGGTTTACTTGGAAAACCCAGTTACACATTTTAAACTACAGCTGGAAATTGCAAGTATACAAGTGAAGACGCACACCAAGGAAATTTCGAAATTTGGTCTTTATCAAAATAAAATTTATAATCTATGACTATGTAGATTTTATTGTGTTTGTTACGTCTCTGGTCGTTGGTTAATTTTCCGTAGAAATTCTTTCCAATAAAAACTTCAGCGATACAAGTCCTTTCTTAAATAA